GTGTGTCACCATGATGGTGTTTGGTGTTTGTGTGAATGACACTGTGCACCTTCTATATATTTTATTATTTAAAAGCTGCTTGTGATGGGCTTTGGTTCATCATGCGATTTTCTCATCACCACCTGCATTTGGTGGTTATCAGTGTATTACAAAGGTACAAAACAGATTTCAGTACTTCAATAGGTTGGTATATTAACATTATATCAGTTAATGAAATTATGGTATTTAACTGTAAATTTAAGTTAAAACCGTAAAACCTAAAACGTTGCTACCATATTGTTTACGGTAAAATTCCGGCAACCACAGCTGCCGGTTTTTTACCGTACATTTTACGATTTTTTTTTTTACAGTGTAGCCTACTTATAAAGCACATATTAATGCCTTATCCTGCATGACCAAATTCTAAATCCCTTAATCCTACACCATACCTAAACTACCTTAACTATTAATAACCAGAAAATTAAGAGTTTATTGAGGCAAAAGTGGTAGTTAATAGTTAGTTAGTGAGAGTTGGTCCCCAAACTAAAGTGTGACCGTATTACTTAAACACATTATTTTGATGTTTGTTGAACAGCCTTTGATGCTGACTTAAAGAAAATGAGAATTTGAGGCTTGACCATAAAATAGGCGTATTTGTGTAAAATATCATTTATTTGTATTTTTCTTCTCATTTTTGGGATACAACATGTTTTGTGAGATTCATACATGAGCGGGGCTAAAAATGGTCACACATAAAACAAATTTACTGTGATACACATGCTTCATGACTCGACTCGTCTTGCAGCAAGTTTCTTTGCTTCTTTAAAGTAATCTTTGCACTTTTGCCCTTGAGGGATTATTTACTCATGTGAATGATTAACATTTTTGCTTTTTTATATGTATCCTCCCTCTCTCTTTCTCTCTGTCGATCTCTCTATATCATGTGGGTGTTGTCATAGCGTTTAAACATTACTTTTAATCATCAGTTTGCAAGTGTAACAGTTATTTTCAATCAAGTCAGCAGTTTGTACCATTATTTGTTCTCTGACCTTCAAATGCACATTAGCTTGTCAAAGTCCAAACTCGAGATTTTACAAAGTTGCCAAATTTTGAGATTATTTGGGGTGTGAGGGATTTGTTGTTCCTTACAGAATTGAGGCTAAGTATGGGACCAGCTGATACTTTGCTTTTTTTTATATTAAACAAAGAGACAATTATAACGATGTATAAAGTCGTTTATTTAAAAATGTGAGGAAGTAGATCTTACCACTGGAGACCAAAACATTTGCTACATGAAAAATGGCATACAAACAAAGGATTAAACCTGAACAGTTTTGAACAGATTCATTAAAACACACAATTTAAACTATAATTCATGAAAATGAATTAAACCTACTAACAGCAATTGCCATTATAATGCTCTCAGGAAAGGCCAAACTTGTATAACGCTGCTGTTTTTTAGAAAAGCTAATGGCCAAATAACTGAGACGTTCATAATGCTGAAGATTCAAAATGCTATGTCACCAGCAAAATCATCAATGCATATACAGTGAATATGATAGCATCCAGTCAAAATTATTAAAGACAATGTAATTATTTGACAAGTGCCGTTTTATTTACTGTGTAGAATAGATGTATTGCCTATAGAAACAGGAAGGGGAGATATGTTGATTTTTTATTATTTTTCTAAACAGTCATTATCCTTTAGTTTATATTTGTGAACTGTTCATTGCTTTTGGCTTATTCTGTGGAATTACGAGGGAGGACATTGTAGACAACAATTTGTATGTGAAAGATAAGTCATTAAATATTTTGGCCAATTTTCCCAGAAGGTACAAAACAGATTTCAGTACTTCAATAGGTTGGTATATTAACATTATATCAGTTAATGAAATTATGGTATTTAACTGTAAATTTAAGTTAAAACCGTAAAACCTAAAACGTTGCTACCATATTGTTTACGGTAAAATTCCGGCAACCACAGCTGCCGGTTTTTTACCGTACATTTTACGATTTTTTTTTTTACAGTGTAGCCTACTTATAAAGCACATATTAATGCCTTATCCTGCATGACCAAATTCTAAATCCCTTAATCCTACACCATACCTAAACTACCTTAACTATTAATAACCAGAAAATTAAGAGTTTATTGAGGCAAAAGTGGTAGTTAATAGTTAGTTAGTGAGAGTTGGTCCCCAAACTAAAGTGTGACTGTATTACTTAAACACATTATTTTGATGTTTGTTGAACAGCCTTTGATGCTGACTTAAAGAAAATGAGAATTTGAGGCTTGACCATAAAATAGGCGTATTTGTGTAAAATATCATTTATTTGTATTTTTCTTCTCATTTTTGGGATACAACATGTTTTGTGAGATTCATACATGAGCGGGGCTAAAAATGGTCACACATAAAACAAATTTACTGTGATTCACATGCTTCATGACTCGACTCGTCTTGCAGCAAGTTTCTTTGCTTCTTTAAAGTAATCTTTGCACTTTTGCCCTTGAGGGATTATTTACTCATGTGAATGATTAACATTTTTGCTTTTTTATATGTATCCTCCCTCTCTCTTTCTCTTTCTCTTTCTCTCTGTCGATCTCTCTATATCATGTGGGTGTTGTCATAGCGTTTAAACATTACTTTTAATCATCAGTTTGCAAGTGTAACAGTTATTTTCAATCAAGTCAGCAGTTTGTACCATTATTTGTTCTCTGACCTTCAAATGCACATTAGCTTGTCAAAGTCCAAACTCGAGATTTTACAAAGTTGCCAAATTTTGAGATTATTTGGGGTGTGAGGGATTTGTTGTTCCTTACAGAATTGAGGCTAAGTATGGGACCAGCTGATACTTTGCTTTTTTTTATATTAAACAAAGAGACAATTATAACGATGTATAAAGTCGTTTATTTAAAAATGTGAGGAAGTAGATCTTACCACTGGAGACCAAAACATTTACTACATGAAAAATGGCATACAAACAAAGGATTAAACCTGAACAGTTTTGAACAGATTCATTAAAACACAATTTAAACTATAATTCATGAAAATGAATTAAACCTACTAACAGCAATTGCCATTATAATGCTCTCAGGAAAGGCCAAACTTGTATAATGCTGCTGTTTTTTAGAAAAGCTAATGGCCAAATAACTGAGACGTTCATAAACATGAAAAATGGCATACAAACAAAGGATTAAACCTGAACAGTTTTGAACAGATTCATTAAAACACAATTTAAACTATAATTCATGAAAATGAATTAAACCTACTAACAGCAATTGCCATTATAATGCTCTCAGGAAAGGCCAAACTTGTATAACGCTGCTGTTTTTTAGAAAAGCTAATGGCCAAATAACTGAGACGTTCATAATGTTGAAGATTCAAAATGCTATGTCACCAGCAAAATCATCAATGCATATACAGTGAATATGATAGCATCCAGTCAAAATTATTAAAGACAATGTAATTATTTGACAAGTGCCGTTTTATTTACTGTGTAGAATAGATGTATTGCCTATAGAAACAGGAAGGGGAGATATGTTGATTTTTTATTATTTTTCTAAACAGTCATTATCCTTTAGTTTATATTTGTGAACTGTTCATTGCTTTTGGCTTATTCTGTGGAATTACGAGGGAGGACATTGTAGACAACAATTTGTATGTGAAAGATAAGTCATTAAATATTTTGGCCAATTTTCCCAGAAGAAACGTATGCTAAAAGTGTATTTTGTCAACTTTTAGAATTGCACTAGGATGTAGATGAATATGGAATTACATAACAAGATTTAACTTAGTCACTCTCAACTTTTATTTTGTTTTCAAGATCCAGATTTAAAAAAAAAAAACAGTACACACGTACTGAATGTTAGGTGCTGGGTTTCATAATATTGCTGTAAATCATTTAAATTGCGAGATTACACCATCACAGTGCAGATGTATCACAGTTTGCACCATTCAATGTGGAAAAAGCTCAGGATCCTCTTTCATTAACATTTACTTCTCATTCTCATATCTTAGTTTCTTTTTCTCAGAAATATAGCCTTCACAGTGAGCTCTGTGACATAGGTGCGCACTGCGCAGCATAGTGATGTGACTTGAAATGATACCGACACCTCAAATAAAATATTAAAGAACCAAAACATGCTACTTTGAGCTGCAACACTGTCATTAAAGAACCATGCAAGATTTGTGAGGCATAGGACGAGTACCAAAATCATATTAGTGTCTGTAGATCACAATTAGTTGTCATCTCATTGTAATGTTTTCTATTTGCAGGGGAAACGACCACAGTGCCCAATAGCACTACAACTCCCAGCCCAGTAAGTAGAAATTCTCCTGAAGTGTAGTCAGGTGTTTATTTCCCCTTATTAGCCTGAAGCTCATCGTCTGTCTAGAAATGAAAAGATGTTTATTTCTCTTATAAGTATCTGATCAACTATTGGCCAATATACTCTTCGTTTGATCTTTAAGAAACATAGTTTCCCAAATTTGAGAATAAGAAACTGAATCTTTTAAAAATGTTTTGAAATAATTTTCTTATGTTCACCAAGGCTGCATGCTTTGCTATTTGATCAAAATACAGCAAAACTGTAATATTGTAAAATATAATTACGATTTAAAATAACTGTTTTCTGTTGCAATATAATTTAAAATGTTAAACAGATAAACATTAACTAAGGACCGTTTCTGAAGGCACAAGGCACAAAACAAAGAGAGTCTGACTACTTGGAAGAAACTTGAAGGAACAGATCCTCTCTCCAAAAGGCCACATATTTCACAGTACAGATCATCTAGCATTTCATGCCATTTTAGACTGGTAGCTTTTCTCTGAATACGTCATTTTATGTTGTGTTACCTGTTTTAATGGTTGCTTTACGCATACAAATGCTGATATTTGTATGTAGTGTTAAGATATTTTTAAAGGTGAAGTGTGTAATATCTGCACCCCCTAGTGGCACAAAACAGCATTGCAGTCTGTTTTGCATTCAAAATGGGCCAGATTTAAAGGGATAGTTCACAAAAAAAAAATTACCATTCTGTCATAATTTACTCTCCCTCAAGTTGTTCAAAACCTGTATGAGTTTCTTTCTTTTGTTGAGCAGAAAAGAAGGTATTTTTTAAAAATGTTGGTATAACCAAACAGTTGACGGTAGCCATTAGTATGGGGGAAAAATACTATTGAAGTTAATGGCAACCATCAACTGTTTGGTGACAAAATGATGACAAAATGTTCATTTTTGGGTGAACTATCCCTTTAACAGCATCAGCTCAACCAATGGTGTGAATTTGAGGGCGGGACTATCTGTTTGACTGAATAATGGAAGCTGGCTGCATTTGAAACTTTAAATTTAAAATGTTAATTTAAATTAGTCATCAATTTTTCATTTCTGCTTGTTGGCACTAGATTATGCACTCTACACCTTTAAATATTTATTCAAATACATTTGTTCACAATATAGGATGTTCATAATCTCATATCTGGTATGTTTGTTGAAACCACTTTTCACAAATTATTTCAACAGCTGTATTTGTCTAGATTTACCTCAGTAATGTTTCCTTATATATATATAATTTAATCGAATATGAATTGTCCAGAAATTTGATCAGTGCAACAATGGATTCTATTTGGAATCGTTTTTGATTCTTTTATCATAGCATGGATGTTTACACTCAAATATGTAATGCATTATGTTTCACTGGAGTGCCTTTTCAAATTTCATCGTTTTAGAAACTGCTAAATCGTGCTGTTTTTAAATATAAGATTAAAAGGCACAATGGTCATGCTATATTGTGAATATAATCACTGCTAATGGGTTTTGTTAGGCACAACGCTCAGAGTTACTATATTTACAATACAGCACGGCCTCAGGTGCCTTTGCTTTTATAAAATGGTTGTTCCATGTTAAAAATATTGAGGACGACACAAATTTACATTAAAACATTATTTTATTAAGCTAATTAATTAAGTGTTATTCTTCCGCTAAAGATACAGTCTCTAATATAATAGAAAGTTACTACGCAACAAAACAATTTACCATGCCCTATTATAGTCTATTCTATATTGTGGAATTTAGCATGACTACGCGCGGCTTGTCTTCTGTCTTCTGTTTGTATTTCCACAGCGTGAAAGGTCATACAAATTTATAAATGAACCGCTCGTTTTAAAATCTTCCCAGTCTACTTACATTTGATATTACATCAGAGCTACCGCAAAAACAGATGTTTAAAGACAAAATTAAGACGGCTGCGCACTTGTTTCTCTGATGGATAAGGTCTATTTTCCTCATCGGAAGCCAGAATAGTAATTATTTATTTTTATATGTATTTTTAACGTATTAATTTTTTTATATTCGATCCATATTTTTATAGTGGGTACTGCTATTTTGTAACGTGAATGCTCAAGTCTTTTGTCCGCGTTCTGCTTGATGTTGCAAACTGGTAGCCTGTACGTTATCATATTATTTTATTATCGTAATTGTAACAACCTTGGTTTGTAGATTTACTGTTTACTGTTTTTCTTCTAGTTATTTGGCTAGCAGCTAATGAATCAGACGTCTTGCACATTCACAGAAAATAGCCTAGCTTATTTCTGCGTTGGAAAATAAGGTGGCAAATAAGGCCTTTACCCCAATCCACAAACATCGGTTGAAAATTTGTAGCTGGATAGGTGTTGGCTACTTTGAAATTTTATGGCATTACATAAATGTCCTATGAGTGCTAACACTACGATAATATCTGGGTGTGCATGGAGGAGTGTCTTTCTTAAGAAGCGTAGGACAGCATTGCTTAAGGCTGTGTCTCACAAATTTGCTTGCCAAGAACAACGCAAGAGCTTATTGTGATGAATAGATCTAAGAAAAGCATGCTCAGTTTATTGTTTTCAGGAACACTGCTCTCTAGTGGCCTACTTTGTCTTTCAGGCAGTTGTTTTATGCTGCCATTTTCTTTGGTTTGGCAAAATACAATAGCAACAATGACATGCTGTGCATTTGAATGATAATATCAGGAAACTAGTAACAAATTAATTTATTTTCAATTTAGTCTTTTTGACTTCAGGGCCCCAAATACTGACAAAGACAATATTCAAAGGCCCCCAAAAGTGGCCTTATAGTGGCCATAATTTTGAAGAATAATTAAAGTATTACTGTTCTAGTTGTTTGTCATTTCTACCCAATGAAATATTTTAGAGTTTGACATAACTAGAAAAAATTCCCTCATATATCCAAGTTTTCCAAGACCACAAGAACCCTGGTTCATAAATAAAAATGACAGTTGTTGAGGGAACAAAATAAAATAAGAAATATGTCAGCTCACGTTTTGGTTGTCAACTGTTTTAGCTCATTTTATAGGTTGTTTTGTCTTATTTTAAATAATTTAAGCCATCCTGTGTCCACCACTAATGTTAATTAAAACATTCATGAAACCCTCTGTGACATTCGAAAAAAACAACAACAATTCTGATGTAGTAGTAGCCTTTATTCAGATTGACACTGACACCAGTTACATCGTTCTCAAATCCAAAGGCTTCACAGTTAAAATCACTTGCGTTTCTCTTGGATGTGAGGGGGATTTGATGGCGTGCATTCACAACATTCAGAAACACAAAACCAAACCAAAAGTTCACAATTCCTCAAAATGTCATTGGTGGGGGGTGCGGGGGGACTGTCATTGATGGATACTGAATGTGAAAACCCATTCATTGTTCTGGAGAGCACTGGTTTGTGGTAAGAAGGATGAAATATGGGGGATGGAGTGGTAGGGATGCTTTCGCCAGGCGGTTGCGATTTAGGCGACCTCCTCCTCGCCCTCCTCTTCGAACTCGCCCTCTTCGGTGGTGGCGTCTTGGTACTGCTGGTACTCGGACACCAGGTCGTTCATGTTGCTCTCGGCCTCGGTGAACTCCATCTCATCCATGCCCTCGCCGGTGTACCAATGCAGGAAAGCCTTGCGCCTGAACATAGCGGTGAACTGCTCCGAGATTCTCTTGAACAGCTCCTGGATGGCAGTGCTGTTGCCAATGAAGGTGGCCGCCATTTTGAGCCCGCGGGGTGGGATGTCGCACACGGCAGTCTTGACGTTGTTGGGGATCCACTCGACGAAGTAGCTGCTGTTCTTGTTCTGGACGTTCAGCATCTGCTCGTCCACCTCCTTCATGGACATGCGTCCGCGGAAGACGGCGGCCACAGTCAGGTAGCGGCCGTGACGGGGGTCGCAGGCGGCCATCATGTTCTTGGCGTCAAACATCTGCTGAGTGAGCTCAGGAACGGAGAGCGCGCGGTACTGCTGGCTGCCTCGGCTGGTGAGGGGAGCGAAGCCGGGCATGAAGAAGTGGAGACGTGGGAAGGGCACCATGTTGACGGCCAGTTTGCGGAGGTCGGCGTTGAGCTGGCCGGGGAAGCGGAGGCAGGTGGTGACGCCGCTCATGGTGGCCGAGACGAGATGGTTGAGGTCGCCGTAGGTTGGTGTGGTGAGCTTGAGGGTGCGGAAGCAGATGTCGTAGAGAGCCTCATTGTCGATGCAGTAGGTCTCGTCGGTGTTCTCAACCAGCTGGTGGACGGACAGCGTGGCGTTGTAGGGCTCCACCACGGTGTCGGACACCTTGGGCGAGGGCACCACGCTGAAGGTGTTCATGATGCGGTCGGGATACTCTTCGCGGATCTTGCTGATGAGGAGGGTGCCCATGCCGGAGCCAGTGCCTCCGCCGAGAGAGTGGGTGAGCTGGAAGCCTTGCAGGCAGTCGCAGCTTTCTGCTTCCTTACGAACAACATCCAGTACTGAGTCCACCAGCTCTGCTCCTTCTGTGTAGTGACCTTTGGCCCAGTTGTTTCCAGCACCACTCTGACCTGCAATCATTAAAATTTTGCGTTGAAAGTCCCGTTCAAGGAAAGTGTGTTCACTTGGTGGCCATATTTGCAACGTCTTCATGCTTGAATGGCGAGATCCAGAAATCTCAAAAACTGGCCAAACTTGCATTTGCGTAACATAATTCAAACAAGCAACAAAATCTGGCACATGTTGTCCCACAAATGCTATTTCTTGTGCTAAATAGCATTAAAAAAGGTTTTCAGGTTGGTAAAGCCAACGCGCAACCAGAGCTTCTAACAGCAGCTGGTGATGACTTTACCATCTGGCAATTGGCTCTTTTTTTAGAAAACAGGACTTATTGCGCCATATTGTGTGTTGAACTTTCTCCCATTCATAATATGAGTGCACCATCTTTGTATATCAAAAGTTCCACTAAAGTTAAAGTTAAATTTGACATCCACCATGTCAAATTTGAACTCCTTCTAGCATCCAACAGAAGACAGCATTTAATTGCTATCAGTGTGGATTCATACCTACTAAGTGTGAAAAATGATACTGTAGCAGCACATGGTGGAAATAACAAAGGTAATGAAAAAAAC